GAGAGAATGTCCAAAAGTTAACATTCCCCTAATATATTATACAAGCTAACTTTTGCTTTCCAAGTTTACTTTTATTAAATGTATTCAACTTATCCAAAAAAATTTCACAAGTTTCTTACTATCTTATTATTTTTTTAAAAAAAGAAAATATCTGTTTTTAAGAGGAAATGTCCTTTTTTTATAAATAATTTTTATAATTTTTAATTTATAACACAAAGGGTTTAGATCTCTTTTTTGAAAAAAGAACGGACATTTCCTCTTTTTTGAAAAAAGCAAACATTTTCTTTAAAAAAATAATTGACGTTTAAAAAAAAAAATAATAAGACTGTAAGAAAGTTGTGAATATTTTTTTGGATAAATTGAATACATTTAATAAGGGTAAACTTGAAAAGTAAAAGTTAACTTGTATAATATATTAGTAACATTATTTTAAGTGTAAGGAGAATGACACATATCAAGCAAAAAAGGGAGAATGTTAGAGAGAAGGTTGCTAGCATTCCCCTTGAAAAAATTACATCAATGAATATAAGAATAGAATGGACGTTCTTGATGTAAATTGTTGACAAATTGCACACCATCCCTCTTGTGCATTCTATAATTTGATGATAGGATACCAATTTTATGATCAGGCCTTTATACTTATGCATATACCACTAGTAATTTTGAAATAAGGTGGAAAGCATCAGAAATTGATCGTCTTCTGTCTTGATCTAAAAACAAGAATGAATACAAGCAGATGAAGGAGATTGAACATGCAACAATTCCACCTCTCAGATCACCATATACTCATCACTCAGATTTTAATGGCAGAATCAATCTTTCAAACAACTATAGTTTTGGTGTGGTTGCACTTGCACATTAGGTATAAAGTTATAAACCATTGAAACAGGACCTAGGTTCTGCTCACAACTCGCCATCCCATAGTTCTTCAAGGGTCCTGTATGCACCCAAAGTCTCATGTACAAAACCAGTTCCTGGAACAAGCTTTTCCTGCATCATCATTTACAAAGAAAGTTAAATTCAACCGTCCAAAAGAAACGAAAGCCCTCCACATAAGAAATGACAAGCACTCACCGAAACTAGAACAAAGAAAGAATGAAAAGAAGGGGGGAGAAAAGGAAAAGGCACTTGCCTGCTTAATTTCAGAGAATTTTGCAAACAAGTCTTCGGGTATAGACCAATCAAAAAGATCAAAGTTTTCCTGTATCCTTGCCTGATTCGTGCTTTTAGGCACTACACTGTGACCCATTTGTAACCCCCATCGAAGAGTCACTTGGGCAGGAGTCTTGCCCAGTTTTTCTGCCACCAAGTTCACAATAGAATTCTTAAGGATCTTATTCCTTGCCAATGGACAATAGCCCTGGAATAAGATTATTCATCACAAAAATACATCACTAATTAGCCAACGCTGAGGTTCAGGAACCACAAAAATGAAAATCTAGCCTATTCTGTTCCCAAATTATTCACAGAAGTCATGTGTAACAATAAAAGATTTTGTCTCTGCATACTCACAGATAACTGAACTCCCTTAGATTTACAGAAAGCGTGCAGCTTCGGTTGCTGCCAGTGAGGGTGCAATTCCACTTGATTAACAGCTGGAGGTATTCGTGCAACCTCTAACAGATCTCCAAGCTTCTTTGAAGAGAAGTTGCTGACTCCAATAGCCCTGGCCTTGCCAGAGTCAAAGAGTGCCTCCATTGCTTTCCATGTACTGGGTATATTAGGTTGGGTAAGGATTTGAGGATCAGAGCCAACTGACCCCTTTTTCATGCTCACTGGCCAGTGGATCTACCAAGATTTTTATGACATTCAATAACAAATAAGCAATCGCAATATTACTTTATGCATACATCAGAACAAAATAAATGTGCTAGTGAGACTCCGAAAGTTGATGTCTCTTCAAAAATTTGTTTTGATTAGTCAGTCCAAGGCATGTGATTAATTAATTTCATTTTACCTCCAATAAAGATTAAGGGCACTCAAACATACATTTCTAGTTGACATCTTCAAGGTACATTTACTATAAGGGTAAATCTTAAACTTGTGCACTTACAAGATAGAGATCCAGATAGTCAAGCTGCAAGTCCTCCAAAGTTTTATCAAATGCCTTTGGCACATCATCTGGTTCATGATCAGTACACCTGCAGACAATTCTGATTTCAACTTAGCATTTGATGGTAAAGTTGGAATTTTGAGATGATAAATTGAAGACTACAAAACTTAAGCAGAGTTTCAAACAAACCAGAGTTTGGAGGTGATCCATAAGTCCTCACGCTTCACAGCCCCATCGCTAAACAGCTTCTTCAGAGCAAAACCAATCTACATACATAAACCAGAACCTGCTCTCATGTCTCAAAACAACAGTTTCCAGCATAAATTAGCGCATAAATTTTCAAGAAGTAATTTTCATCGGAAACCAACCATCACCCCCAAAACAAAACAAAATTACATATATGAATTCTTGAATTCTTATCTTACCTCCTTCTCATTGCCATACATTTGAGCACAATCGATTTGGCGATATCCAACCTGCACACAAAAACACAGACAACACGGGAACGACTCAAATTAAGCTACCAGGCTTAAACTACCTACAAAAAACTATTAAGTACGCATAATTTTACATATAATCTTGATTAATAATTAAAATTGATGGATCAAAACTGAGAAAACAGTAACCTTAATGGCAGCGGAGAGGACGTCGCCGATGAGATGAGTATCGGCGCGATATGTGCCTAACCCAACGGAAGGCATCTTGGCGCCGGTGTTCAGCTCAAAAAACTGAATTGCGTTCGCCATTACAGAGGAGGAAGAAGAAGCACACGTGCGTTCCCTCTTGCTTTTTTTATTTTATTATTATTTTGGGTTACTGAATAATAAGTACTTTATATTTTTTTTCAATGATGCTCCAAAAATTCTTCTTTTGAAATTTATAAGTTATTTCCATCTTACATTTAAAGGATGTCAAGTAGATTTTGGTCATCTTTGTTGGTTTGGGACTTTTGTTCACTATCATGTGCGGCTGTGTTTAATTGCGTTTTTGACTGTTAGTTTTGTTGCCTATTTGAGTTTGAGTTTGTTACTATCATGTAGAGACGTGTTGACTGTGTTTTTGAAATTTATCAAATGAAATTTGTGATTTGAAAAGATGTGCACTTAACTCTGGTCTAGTAAGTGCATCAAAGCAAAAGGCAGATTAACCGGACGAACAAAGAAAAATCTCCATCAAGATTCATAATTTCGTGACAGTCCAATACGCTGAAGCAGCACAGGATTTTATATGTCATTAAAGCTGAATGTATCTTTAAAAGTAAAAAAAAAAAAAACAAAGGTCAACAGAAGTGCCACAACTTCTGTATCCACCATTCTTCATGAAGCTAATGAAAAGCCAAATGTTTCTAAGATCAGCTCATCCAGGTTATGCTCACAATTCGCCGTCCCAAAGTTCCTCGATGGTCTTGTAACCTTCGGAAGTCTCGTGGACGAATCCGGTACCTTTAAGCAGCCTCTCCTGTAAAGAAAAACAGAATTCTTTAACAAAGTCAAATCACCACAAGACAACAGATGAATGGAATTCAGGAACAGAAAGACATATATAACAAAGAAGAAATAAGAAGAAAAAAATGTTACTTGCCTGCTTTGCTTCAGCAAACTTTGCAAACAAATCTTCAGGTATAGACCAATCAAAAACACCGAAGTTCTCCTTGATCCTTGCATCCTTTGTGCTCTTAGGCAGTACACTGTGACCTGACTGGAGCCCCCACCGGATAGCCACTTGTGCAGGAGTCTTGCCCAGCTTCTCTGCCACCGATGTAAGAATCGGATTCTTAAGCACATCACCCTTAATGCTGCTAGTGCCTGGGGATCCCAATGGTGAATACCCCTGAAACAAGAAACACATTCCAATATTATACCAGTAATCTGCAGTTGGTGCTTTTGGTAAATCAGAAGAAGAATGTTTTACTTCATATAAGCATACTCACGGTTAAGTGAACTCCCTTGGATTTGCAGAATTCTTTTAGCTTTGGCTGCTGCCATTGAGGGTGCAATTCCACTTGATTAACAGCCGGAGGCACTCGTGCCACTGTTAATAGGTCTCCAAGCTTCTTTGTAGAAAAATTGCTAACCCCTATGGCCCTGGCCTTGCCAGAATCATAAAGTGCCTCCATTGCTTTCCAAGTACTGGCTATGTCAGGTTGGGCAAGGTTTTCAGTCTTAAAGCCAGTTGAACCCTTCTTCATCTTGACAGGCCAGTGGATCTACAAAAAATTTACAAATATTCAGCGGCAAATAAACAATGATTTGTATAACTTCATAAAGCTAGTGAGACTTGCTTGCAAGGTTGCCGTTTCTTATTTCCAGATATAAACAAAGTCCAAAGTACAAAGTCACATTATGAAAACTAAAGCATCAATCTGAAAAAGTGACTTCATTATTTTTTTTGGGACATATCATTACGGTTTTGCTTAAGAATATGTTATTTTCTCATAAAGTTTGACATGTTAAGTTGTCAAAATAAACAATTAATCGGTTAAATTCTTATTTGAATGTGTGGTTTAAAGTTGTAGAAACAAAAGATTACCCTTTTTATGTGTCTCTAGATATTAACAAACAAACAGTAATTGAGTGTGGTTTGGTTTACGTACTAGATAGAGATCGAGATAGTCGAGTTGTAAGTCTTGCAGGGTACTATCTAGTGCTTTTGGCACATCTTCTGGTTCATGATTATTGCACCTGCACAGTGCACATAAAGGTATTTTCATATTCAACCTTTTCAAATTTCCAATTAGATATAGAAAAGAATCAAGAGAGTTATACTGAAACAAACCAGAGTTTTGAAGTTATCCATAGGTCCTCACGCTTCACCACACCATCATCATAAAGCTTCTTCAGAGCAAACCCAATCTATAAAATCCAGCAAATTGGTCACTGTTACATTGGGACGCATAAATCATAAAACATTACAGAATTTACAAATTTAGAAAATTAATTTAAAGCAAATAATTAAGCAGAGAAATGGCGAAAAATCAATGAATAAGAGTTGAATTTGAAATTGAACACCTCCTTTTCATTGCCATACGCTTGAGCACAATCAATATGCCGGTACCCGACCTGCATTTCGCACAGATGAACAGTTGAACGACTTATCAAAATCAAACTTGACATTTTTGTAATTGCATTTCCAATTAAAATAAGAAACAAGAGAGACCTTAATGGCGGTGGTGACGGCGGGTGGTGGCGGCGGCGGCAACGACGCCGGGCTCAGCCTGCCACGTGCCCAAACCGAGGGACGGGATCTTGGCCCCAGTGTTCAACTCAAAGAACCGAATCGCTTTCGCCATTTTTGTTTTCTGAAAAGTTCCCACTTTGCTGCGATTTGCGTGTGTAAACTGTCGAGCAATTTAATTGGGTAAGTTATTAAAAAGCGGGACCAAAACGTATGGGAAATGGAAAGCCAAACGAATCACGTCATTACACGTTGCATGAGAAGAAAGGGAAAGCCCGTTAAAAGACTGATTTTGGAGTTGCTAAAAAGGGTAAAAGTGGAAGAGAATTTTTGATATGGGGCCGGCAATGAACGAGCTGGTCATGGAGTAGGCAATTGGGCTGTATTGTACTGTTGGATCGTAGTGCTCCGAATTATAGGTTTTACTCCAAGCGAGCGCGACAAAGAACAAAGATCCAACGGAAACCCCGATTCAGTTTCGTTGTCATTGTCGTGTGTCTGCAATTATTTTGATCAAAATTCGTTGCCAATTTTGTTTCTCTCTTTGTTTTAGATCAAACGTCACTGTCTTCCCTTTGAATTGTATTTTTTTATTAGGTACTAATCCTTTGATGAAGTGCGTGGTGAGTGAGCAGAATTTCTATGGTATTATATATGATTGGGGTCACCGGCATAGACCTCGAGAATTTTTTGTGGGTAATTTAAACTGCATAGAACTTTGGTTTTTGGCTAACTTTATGCCAATCATTGACAGCTAAAGTTTGTAAACTCTGGAAGAAATAGTTTGTGATGAATTCTTTTTGTATTTTGGAGCATGTGGTTTGCATGAGAATGACTTAATGAAATTTCTGAAAATGGAATATATATTAATATGTTTGAAAGTGTATGAGAATTGAAATAGTCTGTTAAATGCAAATGAAACAACCCAAAAAAAAGGACATGAACTCATGGATACATTATAAAATACGCAACGGTAACGCATTAAAAAGTGTTGTGTTGAAATGTGAAGTAATTACCAAAAACACTCCAACTCAGCATACAATTCTCTACAACAAATAATGTATGCAGTAATAGAATTTAGTAGTACTTGAGAGAATGAGGTTGTCCAAAGGAAAAAATTCCCACACAAAAAGAAAAAGAAAAATTGAACTCTCAAGTTGATTTACCGTGAAATTTCTCTTTCTTTAATATCTACTTCGGAGATGTCAAAATTAGCAAATTAATCTATATATAAAGCATATCTGTAAAGTATAAACTAATGCAACTAGGCGTCACATTTTTTTTAATTTTTAAATAAATCGTATAGCCGTGTGGCTACACTCCTATTAAATATAATATACTTAAAGCGTATAGCCGCTCGGCTATACCACGTTTTTTATTATAAAAAAATAGTATAGCAACCTGGCTATACTGTTTTTGACACGTGGAGAAGCGGGCCCTAGGCGCCAGGTGGGTCATCTTTTTTTATTATTTATAATAGTATAGCTGAGCGGCTAGGCCCCAGGCGAGTTCTTTTTAATAATAAATAGTACAGCCGTGCGGCTATATGCGAATTTGTTTAATTATAAAATAGTATAGCCGATCGGCTGTACTATTTTTACAGTGGCTAAATGGCGCTAGCGTCAGGTGGGTATTTTTTAAAAACTAGTATAGCCGGGCGGCTATACGCGGATTTTTTCAATAACCAAAATAGTATAGCTGTGCGGTCGTTCTTTTTTGACACGTGGCGAAACAGCGCTAGTGCCAGGCGAGTACTATATTTGAAACGTGGCAAAATGGCCGCTAGGCGCCAGGCGGTTCTTTTTTTATTCTTTTATAAATAATATAGCCGGCGAGCTATATTCGGATTTTTTTATAATAAAAATAGTATAGCCTACGGTTTTTATTATTTAAAAATAGTATTGCCTAACCGGTGAGAGGCAAACTGCTATTTGAAGCAAAATATCTTGCTGGGGAAGATTTATCCGAGATCAAGCTTTTATATCGATCCCAACATGGTCATCATTGATGTCATTAAACTCTCTGCTCTGGATGGTGTCGAGCCCTACAGCAAAAACATGATTGTTGGCATTGCCGTTGTTGGTCTCACTGAAAAGGCCAAGTTACTGGCTTGGAAGAGCTCCGGGAAGGCCTCTTGTTGGAACAACAATGAAAGCCATGCCGTGGCCACCCAGGTCTATATATTCTGATCTAATAGCTAGCGCAGACAAAAGTGGTAGAGAAAGAGAAAACTATGCCATTAGACATTGACCCCTGCAAGGAAAATTCTTGGATCCGCTTCTATAATAGAAGGCATGACCCTGATTCTGTTTAGTGTCGTTTGTAAGCCTCAAAAGACCCTTGGGTGTGACTCTTGCTATGCCATCTAGGCTAAGGTTATCAGAGCGGAAACCATTGTAGGTGAAACTGAGATCTTCAGGTGCTGCTAAGCTGGTATAGTATGAATATTACAAGCCTGAAGAACAAGGCTATTCTTGATTCTCTGCCAAGGCCTTTGCAAACTCTAACATATCCTTCATTGCAAGTCTTCGCAGATACGTTTAGTCAAACTACTAAAGCCGCGAAAGAAAAAGCTAAGTCAACGAAGCAGACATTATCACTAATTAACAAGAAGAAAAAAGAGAGGAAATTGGACCGTCATTGTCACTAATTAACAAATCGTTCTTATCTAGAATTAGTTGGAATTTTTGTGAGTATTTCAAAATACAAAATTATTTTATTACTTATTTTATGTTGAATTTATTTTTCCAGATTTTGTGTGTGTTTTGATTGCTTCTTTAAAACTGCAATTATTTTTTATATTTATAAAATTTATTATGGCCTGATAATTTTATATTAATTTTGAGGCCTGTTAGCTTTAATACAGAATCGTCACTTAAATGGTCACAATATTGTAGTTTAATATATTTTGTTTTCAACAACCATTTGTGTCCATTTGGTATATTTACTTTTGGTAATTAATTGGTTGATAATGGCAATTATTGCCTTACTCTACCGTTGGATTTTTTAGGGCATTTATTTTGCCTAAAACGATTTTAAGACCCAAAAAAAAAAAAGAAAAAAAAAGAAAAAGAAATGAGCAGAACGTTAGCAAAATTGGCACATTTCTTCATTAGTTTCTCCTCCACATTCTTAAGTTTGTGTTTCAATTTGTTTTCTTTTTATCAAGGGAAAGATTCTGATTTCAACTTAGCAATTGATGGTAAAGTTGGTTTCAAACAAACCAGAGATGATAAATTGAAGACTACAAAACTTAAGCAGAGTTTGGAGGTGATCCATAAGTCCTCACGCTTCACAGCCCCGCTATACAGCTTCTTCATAGCAAAACCAATCTACATACATAAACCAGAAACTGCTCTCACGTCTCAAAACAACAGTTGCATAAATTAGCTCATAAATTTTCAAGACATAATTTACGCTGCGCGGCTATACTATTTCTTTAAATATCGTGTGATGTGTGATTCAATCAAGAACTGGACAGGTTCTGCAATTGTAGTTGTTTAAAAAAAAAAAATTAGGGTTAGGTTGGGTAAGGAGAAAGGAAAAGAGGAAAAAGGAAGGAGTCGAGGTAGGGGTAGTTTGGGAATAATGGAGAGTCAATGGAGAGTGAAACAGCGCCAGAAGAGGGAAACAAAAATCTCAAATTGGATAAGAACTGATAGAGTTCATAAGTACATACATTAGAAGGCTGCATCCATTGGAAGTTTGGCAAATGCTCGACTCACAAGAATGAAGCTTGAGTTGAAATTAGTCCCACATTGGAAAACTAGAGTTCCTCAGGGACTATATATACGTTTTCTGCTAGAGGAAATACATTCTCATTGTACAATACCGCCAACAGTTTTTACTGGAGTAATTATTCCAGTTCATTCCAGCAACAAGTGCAGTGAGACATGATTGCTTGGAAAAGGCTCTCCAATAGATGGAAGGATGTCTCTTTCCCCAAGTCTTTTGTATCCACTTGTGCATCCTGCTGTTTTGGTGGAAACTTATGAACAAGGGGAATGTGTCAATGATCTTCAAGGGCATGATCGGATTAAATCAAGAAATCAAGGGGAGAGAGAGAGAGAGAGAGAGAGAGAGAGAGAGAGATTTGATTCTCCTTGATTTATATCTTTAAGATAATGTCCCCTGTGTCTATTTGCTTGATCTTACAATTTGCAGTTCTATTTTTCTACTTGAATCTTAGTGCTAGTTCAATTTGACTGAGACCTTTCAATTACATTTCATGAACATTAGTACCCACTTTATATGAGTAGGCTAGTTATTGTTTTTATTTAGTAAACTAGGCTACAAGTACTACTTACCTGACATAGTATCTTTTATTTTAAACATCTTTATTTGCTGATGGTAACCACTTTTCCAATTGAAATCTTCTGGTATATAAATGTTATGGGATACATTTATTAATGTAATTTGGGAAAGCGTGCCAAATGGTTGTGCTATTCATGATCTTTTGATGCTTGTTCACAGAATTCTGACTTATGTGTTTGTTCTAAAACAATTGGTTAACGTTGTTGCATCTGTCTTGTAGCACTGCTGTGGTTGCTTACTGCAGCATGAATTAAGACGGGGAGGCCTCAGACCGCTAAGAGGGCAATTGAACAGGTGGAGAAGTGGCTCTCAAAAGACTGGTGGCCAGAATACTATGATGGCAAGGCAGGGAGATATATCGGGAAGCAAGTGTGGAAGTACCAGACCTGGAGCATCTCAGGATATCTGGTAGCTAAACTGATGATCGAGAATGTAACACCCCGACCCCAAAATTATTCAATGTTTAATTAATTTAAGTGGAATTGAGAAATTACCCGTGGGATAAGGGTATTTTGGTCATTTTCTTACCCGGAAGGAATTTGGGAATTCCGGTTGTACCGTTGCGTAGAGCACGGTGAGATGAGTTCGTAGACACGTAGTGGGCTCGAATCGGAGTTGTAACGAGAGAGATATGATCAAATGAAGCTCAGTGGCATAATCGTAAATATTTGGAAAATGGATTTTTGGTTAAAAGACGGAA